AATGTGGCTTAGGGAGTCCCGGAGAGCTGCGCTATAGACTTACCCCAAGAGGCCTGAGGATAGTAGTCTTTTATGTACTTTTTATGATCAGTGTCCTATAACTTTTATAATGGAGATCAGGGGGGAGTAATTGTGACTTAGAAATAAAACCAGCTAGCAGATTATATACATCCTAGTTAAATAAATGAATTAGATGTAGACGTATACATCTGTGTGTCTTTGTCTTACATAAAATCATAGTGTTTGAGGTAAACTATGCTTTCGATTAAAATTTGTTGACATTGGGGATGGCCAGTATGGCATCCGATATATCTGAATTTTTAAAAATTTATTTATACTGATTACCAGTCAAAAAGTTTAAATATAAAAGCTAATAATTAAAATCTCAATAGTGAGCTGGGTGTGGTGGTGCACATTTTTAGCCCCAGCACTTGGGAGGGAGAGGCAGGTGGATCTCTGTAAGTTCGAGGCCAGCCTGGTCTACATAGTGAGTTCCAGGCCAGCCAGGGCTACAGGGAGACCCTGTCTCAAAAAGACAAACAAAACACAAACCAAAAAAATAATAAAATCTCAATAGTAACTTGAAGTGTTGGTGGAAAATACTTTGTTGAACATCTTTAGTTTTAGTTTAAAATTAGTGACTTAAAATCAGCATCATTTCTGTTTAATTTTGGTCATATGTGTGATATATATTTACTTCCTCTAAATAATTTAGGCATCTGACTTTACAAATATTTATTTATTTACGAAATATCTTAATGAGTGCTAATTATATGTTAAGCAGTACTTGTATTTTTGATACAGTAATGAACAAATAAAATGACTGTAATCTGCTAGTGTAAGTCTTAACAGACTAGCTTTTATCGAGGAATGAGTAGCTGTGCTCTTGGATTGTCTGCCTGTGTGTATGTGTGCGCGTGCGTGCGTGCGTGCGCGCGTGTGTGTGTGTGTGTGTGTGTGTGTGTGTGTGTGTTCACATAAAGTTCTGATGATCTGAACCCAGGTCTTATGCATGCTAGGAAATTCAAGTGCTCTTTCACTGATTTCTACACCCTATCCCCATGACTTTAAAAACTGTATTAATGTGGGGCCTAGAGAGATGGTTCATCCGTAAGAATGATGATTGTTCTTGCAGACGATCTGGCTTTGAATCCCAGCACCCACGTGGCAGCTGACAACTGTCCATATCTCCAGTCCCAGAGGATCCGACAGCCTCTCTGCGGGCACTGCACAACACGGGTGCACTTACCTACATGCAGGCAGTACACACATACAATAAAAATAATAAATAAAATTTTTAAAAAACTGTATTATTGCAAATGACATGTAAAGAAGGAGAAAAGTTATTCTCAGATACTAACTTACTTTTGTTTATTAGATCGAAGAACTTCAGCAAGCCTTGACAGTAAAACAAAATGAAGAGCATGACCGACAGAGGAGAATAAGCAATACCCGAAAAATGATAGAAGATTTGCAAAATGAACTAAAGACCACAGAAAACTGTGAGAATCTGCAGCCTCAGATCGATGCTATTACAAATGATCTGAGACGAGTACAGGATGAAAAGGCACTGTATGAAGGCGAGATCATTGATAAGCGAAGAGAAAAGGAGATGCTAGAAAAGGAGAAAAAGAGTGAGTTCATTTGAACTAAAGAAATGTTTATAAAATGGAGATTTGCTTATTATCCCTAATACTTCCACCCCACATACTAATTTTCTTTAAACTAGTCAGCCTTGCTGAAGACACTCAGATCAGTTCTTCTACTTTGTGTCTGATTACCTCTATCTATTTTATACAGTAATTTGCCCCTGGCAGGCCATTCATACCAGATTTAGCAGTTGGTTTAATTCTCTAAAAGTGCAAAATCGTGCTCTTAGATCGAATTTGAGCTCCTTAAATCCATTTTCGTGTCTTATTTTCCTGTTTTCTCTAAGTATATTTTAGCTCTAAATGCCCGCTTCTTTTTATTATAATTCTCCAATTATTATATTAATAATACTGATTTTTGTTATAAGTGATAACTCATTATTTATGGCATTTAACTGTTATCAGTGTTTGAGTATATATTTTATAAGCTGAAATGTTAGTACAGTACTCTCATCTTTGCTTTTCACATTCAAATCTTTTAGCTGTTCTCTCATTTTCATATTTTCAAAGCTAAAATTGTATTTTATTGCAAATCATAATTTTATGTGCTCATTGGATTAATTATAGAAGTTAGACTTCTAAACTTTACTTGTAGCCAAGCCAGGTAATACATTATAATTAAATTTCTTTTTACTGATTTTTTTTAGAAAATACCATTTATTTTAGCATTTCCTTAAATATTTAAATTTTTTATTTTTTTATTATTTGTGCAGGCATTCATATGCCACAGGGCATACTTGGAAGTCAGAGGACAACTTTCTGGAGTTCTCTCATTCCACCACTATGAGATCCAGGGGTTAAACTTAGGCCATCAGGGTTGTACAACAAACACTTTTACCCACTGAACCATCTCGCCAGCCCAGCCTTTTCTTAAATTTGAAGAAAAGCCCAATTGTCTTTCCTATAATTCTACTGAATTTTCTAGTTTATTGCCCTGCTTCTGCCTAAGCAGGCTGATAGATTTTTTTCAACTTTTCTCCTGTGTTGAGTAACTCTATTCCTGAATTTGGTTGATGATGGTGGTAGTGATTATTATTACTCCCTTATTTTGTTGTGGTATGTTTTCAGCTAACTTCCTAAGTAGAGATATTTGGGAATTAATTTCAAGTTTTGCATTGCTTGAGAACATTCTTAAATTCGTTATCCCCCTTTCTTCATTTGTTTTCTTAAGTTCCATGTTGAAGGTAATTTTCTCATTGTTCTTGCCACTGTCTTCTGATAGAAAAGCTAGTGTTTTTCTCTGGCTTTTCTAGGTGGCCTGTTCTTTTCAGTAACTTCAGGGTCACCTTTTATCTTAGGTGTGAAGTAATTTTAGAAAGAGTTTAAGACTTATCCCAAGTGGTATTTGTAACCTTTAGATTTAAGATACTCTTTTGTATTGTCTACAGGTTGATTTACTAAGATTTTCAGAGAAACAATACTTTTCTTTCCAATTATAGGTGTGGGTGATCATATCATACGTTTTGACAATCTTATGAATCAAAAGGAAGATAAACTGAGACAGAGGTTCCGGGATACATATGATGCTGTTTTGTGGCTAAGAAATAACAGAGACAAGTTTAAGCAAAGAGTCTGTGAGCCTATAATGCTCACGGTAAGAAATTTTATTCATTTTTGTATTGGGATCATTGGAGACTTTTGTTGATATGAGAATTCTTACTGTTAAGACCTGGTTTTTCATTATTGGACTTGTTATATAGGACTGAATCCATATATAAGCTTTTAAAGGGTTCCTTGAACCATAAGAGTAACAGCTATCATAAACCTGTGACATTCATTTTTTTCTAGGAAGATGTGTAAAACTGGGGTCCAGGGACATGGCTCAGTCTTTAAAGTGCTTACCATGCAAACATGAGGACCTCAGTTCAGTTCCTAGAACGTAAATAAAAAGGGGGCGGGGTCAGAAGTTGTGTGTGGTATTGGCATATGCTTAATCCCGGCATTGAGGAAACAGAAACAGGAGGCTCCCTGGGCCTGGCTGGCTAACCAGTCTAGTCAGATCCATAAGCTTCAGGTTCAATGAGAGATTGTCTCTCAAAATGAGTGAGGTGGAGAGCTATTGAGGAAAACACCTGACATTGACCCCTGATCCCCACATGCGTGCACACACATGGACACCCATACATACATGTGTGAACACACAGACACGTACAAAAACAAGGAATAAAACTGACAGTTTACTAACCTAGGACCATGTACAAAACCAGCGCGGTTGACTTATTTTTAGATTATAGCATATAATAGATTACAAGCTGCCCAAGAGGTAGGAGACTACTATAAATAAAAATGTTGATTGGGATTCGTGACAAGATAGGCAGGAAAACCACCTACTGTTATAAAAGAGCATCTGAGAAGTTTGTGAATGAAGCAAATAGTTTATTGATATGAAATATATTGATAGCTTTTATTGATAATTGTGGGTCATTGAATAGATGAGACTATATAGAAGGTCATTTAGTGAAGTGTAGCCATGGATTTAATGGATAATTTCTATCTAAACTATCAAGTAATTAGTTTGGTGTTATAAAGGGATGAAAGCATAAAAAACCATGTTCTTTAATAATGGTATGTTAAAGATAGATATATCAGATGAAGCTTTCCTCCAAATAACTGAAGGATTGATTATTTTTTACTAAGTAATTTTTTTCTATAAAAAATTATAGCCAGGCGTGGTGGCGCACGCCTTTAATCCCAGCACTTGGGAGGCAGAGGCAGGAAGATCTCTGAGTTCAAGGCTACTTTACTTGTAGCCAAGCCAGGTAATACATTATAATTAAGTTTCCTTTTACTCATTATAATTAAATTTCCTTTTACAGGGAGACCCTGTCTTAAAAAGACAAAAAAAAAATTATTATAGATCTTGGCAAAATTTGTGAAAGACTCTAACTCCTAATTGATTAAGGGTTTTTAACGTACATTTTAATCTTTTGTTATATCTTACATTAGTAAAATCAATATGCCACATGTGTTCTTTGCTTAGATGTGTATCATTGTATATCACGGTGGCACGTACCTATAATCTTAGTACTTAAGAGACTAAAACAGGAGGATTAAGAATTTGATGCTAGCCCTGGCTACAAAACAAGTTTCATTCCAGTGTGGGCTGCATAGTAAAGCCCTGTCCTCCAGAAACAAACAAACAAACAAAAACAACAGCAAAGAGAATATTTTTCCAAAATTAAGAAAATTTCTGTTTTGGATAGTCACATTGTTTTGATCTGATAAGGAGAGGGGAAAAAGTCAGAAAAAAATAGTCACCCTTGGTATAAGTTACAATGCAAATACAGTTATTTACATATTTTTTTTGAATGCCAACCTTGGGCTAATATTTCAGAACTTTGTTGGTTTATCATGCTCACATCACCAGGTCACATCACTAACTGAAGCATGATTATGTTTTTATTGCATCTGAGTCTTTCAGATAGAGATGCTCTATTTTTCACCTTTCATGGAGTAAACTTTTATCTCTACTAGCTTCTCCTTCCATGCATATCCTTATGTATGCTTACCCCTAACTAAGTCTGGTTGAAATGAGCCTCCATAGCCAGGCTAGTGACATGTAAATTTAAAATGTTAGTCATACAGCTTGTCAGTTTCCTATTTCCATCATTTCTTTCTGACAATTCTAGTCTAAAATTTGAGAAGTGTCAAAAAGTTTACAGATAGTGTTCTCAAAGAAGAAAATTCGCAAAGATACCAATAGGTGGAATAAATCACTCTTTATTCTTAAGTGCAACACAAACCATTGAAATACTATTGTAGGTCTGGGATGATAGCTCAGTGATGCCTTGCAAGTTTGATTCCACTCAGAATCCATGTAAAAAGCTGGGCATGGTGGTGTGCTTATAATCCCAATACTACGGAGGTAGAGGCCAATCCCTGGGGCTCTGGCCAGCCAGTCTATCCTATTTGATGAGTGTCAGGCCAAGAAGAGACTCTGTCACAAAAAAAAAAAAAAAAAAAAAAAAAGACAATTGATGACAGCTGAGGAACAGTGATTGCCCTCTGGCCTTCATTTATACACATAAAAACATGCACATAAATTACACAAATACTGCTTTGGGTTAGGTCTAATAATAGATGAGTGAATTTATGATGTTAGTGAATTATAAAACCACTTACAGAGGGAGCTGGACAGATGGCTCAGCGGTTAAGAACACTGATTGTTCTTGCAGAAGACCTTGATTCGAATCCCAGCACACACATGGCAACTAACAACCGTCCGTAACTCCAGTCCCAGGGGGTCCAACAGCCTCTACATGGGTGCACTTACCTACATGCAGGCAATACATGCATACACATAAAATAAAAATAATTAAAAAAGAAACTTACAGAGTAGAATGTACAGAAAATTTTCATTTAAAACACCTGTGTAGTCAGGCATGGCGGCTCATGCCTTTAATCTCAGCACTCGGGAGGCAGAGGCAGGCGGATCTCTGTGAGTTCAAGGCCAGCCTGGTCTACATAGTGAGCTCCAGGACAGCTGGGGCTACAGCGAGACCCTGTCTCAAAAAGACCAAAAAAAAAACAGCTGTGTGATAAGACGTTCCACCCATCAACAGGTCACCTTAGAGTACTACACCTTCTATATTTGCCTATCCTTAGCTTACTACTTGTCAGGGTGTGACTGTAAAGTTCTTTGAAGAGCTTTGACAAGTGTTGTCTCCACTGGATACCTGAAGAAAGGAAGGGGCAGTCTAAGAACCTGAAAGCTGAAGAACCAGTAAGTTGGATACATTTTCCTTGGGAATATGCATTATACTTGGGAAAAAAAAGATGAAAATTAGTCACTGTTAGAACTTTACAAACTGACTAGTGACCAAAATGACCTCTGTTTTTGGGACTTAAAAGAATTGAATGGCCACATAACCAGTTTACACAAGATGAGGGCTCTAGGATCTCAAATGGAAGGATGTTTGTAGCTAAATATATCTTGGGGGGAAAAATATGAGAACCAGGCTTACCCAAAGCTGTTATCTTTATCCTTTCTGTAAGGTGAAGTATCAGCTTATATTTTCCTTTATTTGCATTTCCAATAAAGTAATTTAATATGAAAATAGCTGTGAAACAGTAGGCACCAAATACTTACAGAATTTATGTTTGGATGATCATATTTTATGTAGTTTTTTTGTTTATTTTCCCATTTTTCTGTACATGTTAATATTCTGTAAAGTGTAGCATCGGCAATGTTTATGTAACAAACATACCAGGCCAGAGCCCTAGTTGTAAGTAGCATGCTTCATGATAGATCATTCTAAGTGAATACCTTGTTTTTCATCTATCCTCTGAAATCTAATAGACAGGACATTGTGGTATACCTTTGTTATTTGTACTTATTCATCTGCAATAAAAGATTTACTCTCTTAACAGTGTTTTTCCCCCTTACCTATCTTAATAGAATCTCCCATAGAATTGAGGCAATCATACAGAAATGTCCAATTAGTGGATTTTTTTTCTTCTTTTTTTGGTCTTTTTGAGACAGAGTCTCTCTGTAGTCCCAGCTGGCCTGGAACTCACTATGTAGATCAGGCTGGCCTTGAACTCACAGAGATCCACCTGCCTCTGACTCCTGAGTGCTGGGACTAAAGGCATGTGCCACCATGCCTTGTCAATTAGTGGATATTTTTAAGAGCTGTGTATGGTGGTACATGCATATAATTTCAGCCTTCAAAAAGTTAAAGCAGAAGGATCACAAGTTTGAAGCCTGTGTGGGCCACATACTGAGTTCTAGGCTAGTTGTACATCCTGTATCAAATAAACAAAAAACAAAGCTCCAAAGTAATTATGTGTATGTTACAGTGATGTAAACCTATGGCTTCTCAAAGGCTATAATAGCTAAGTGCTATTGCAAGTGCCCCCCAATAAGCTTTATAAGGGTTTTTTGTGTTTTTGTACCTATCAGTTATTGCCAAATATAAAGTTCTCTTCAAGATTAAGAAAAAAACTAAGTTTGAAACAGATGAAAACTGTTTATACTCATAAGTAGCAATCTAAAACTGTTTTCAATGAGTTGATTCGAAATAAAGCTGTTTCTTAGAAAATGTTAAAATCAGTATGTATGAGATACTATTTAAATCTTGTTCATATGTTGGTTATTTCTCATTAACAAGTGTTTGAAGTGAAATTCCATTACCAAATCATTCTGTTCTTTTTTCTTGCTATTAAACTTAATCTAATTAAATAGATTCAATATATTATATATATAAACATGTTCTAATTTTACCTGTGGGTTTCAGGAAAACTCATTTTTTCTTTTTCTTTTTTCAGATTAATATGAAAGATAACAAAAATGCCAAATATATTGAAAATCATATTTCATCAAATGATTTGAGAGCTTTTGTATTTGAAAGTCAAGAAGATATGGAGATTTTCCTCAGAGAGGCAAGTACATTCTGATGGGCTTTGTATTTCTCTTTCAGTGCTTGAAATTTTAGCTTCTCTAGAACAAAAATGTTAGTTTTATCAACAGTTAATTCTTATGTAAAGTTACTAAATTTTGCTAATTTCCTTCATATTTATGATCTTACAGGGATGGGACATTGTTTCAGAATAGGAAAACAACACATAATTCTACCTATACTCCATTTTGAAATTAATTTGAAGAATAATTCTATCTCTGTTCTAAGAGAAACATTATCATGGTGGACCTTATGTCTTGAGCATCCTTTTTTGGACAAGAATTTTGATGAACTCTGTTTTACTTTGAAGGAGAATTAATATAATGGTTACTTACTGATAAAAATAAAACTTGCTAGAGCCGGGCATGGTGGTGCATACCTTTAATCCCAGCTCTCGGGAGGCAGATGCAGGTGGATCTCTGTGAGTTCAAGGCCAGCCTGGTCTACAGGCCAGTTGGGGGCTACAGGGAGACCCTGTCTCAGTTTTAAGTTTATTAAATGTTTCTGCCTCAAGTTTCTTTATCTTTTAAATGGGGTGTGACTACTTCAAAAGATGGCTGTAAAGAATTATTTATTTGCTATATGTGGTGTATATCTTATGTATTACTATCTGTCTGTGCTTATTGTCAAATTTCTTTTCCTGTTTGTATATGCCTTCTATTTCTTTAAAAGGCCCATGAAGATTAGGTTTATCTTTTGTTTTGTCTATGTGAGGACAAGACCCTGAGTCAGTTTGAGTTTCCCATCCTTTTGTAACTTTCTCTTTGCAATTTCTGCCATTTCCACCTACTACCATCATCATGTCCATAAGCTTTCACTGTAGTTTTTATTTTTTCTTTACCACCTTGCTCTTTATTACTCAGACAAAAAATATTTTAAAAGTATAATATTACTGACAAAATAAAAATGCATTCATTTGAATAAAAATAACACAATACAATGCTATTAAAGTCTAGGTCTCTGTTGGTATCTGGTGAAAGCAGGTAACACAATTAATTAAGAGAGGTTTAATAAGGAGTCAGGATATGTTTTTATCATACTATAAACTCTTTCCCTGTGGTTAATTAGAAATACTGAAATGGGCTTGAAAAGCAAACTACTTTCTCAGTGTATAATTTAGTTTTATGTAATGTAGCCATCTCAGGAACAGAGTTTGAAAGCCTTATGATGAACCCTGTCTAGCTGCATTAATGGCAGATTGACCCACAGACAGTATTGTTTCATTTATGCTCTTCTGTTGGTTTTTAAATAGTTTCTTAATTTGAGATAATTTCAAACTTGAAACCTCTGTCCCCACTTGCCAGATTCATCAGTGATATATGTTTATCCTTATTTGCTTTATTATGTCTCTGTCGCAAAGTACGGTCAGCTCTATTGGAACCAACCTGGGCATTTTGCACTGTTGTGCAAAACTGTACAATAAAAACTTGACAGGGCTTATGAAGAACAGTTAGGACACACCTCTTGAAAATTTAATTAGTGACACATAAAAAGATGAACTTAATGAAATGGTAATATAGTTTTACATAGTAAATTCTTAATAAATACAATGAATTTGATGATTTATTTGAAAAACATGTAAATTTGGTCTTTGGAAGTTGGTGTTTGAAGTGTTCAGCTTGAAAGTTCTTACGAAGTGAGTCAAAGGAGATTTTGGTTTTTTGGCAATACTGGGGATTGAACCCAAGGTGTCACACATCCTAGGCAAGTGCTAGACCTTTTTATTTTTGTTTTTTAGCAATTTTAAATTATTTTCAAAAAATGGTACAAAAACGTTGATAACAGTGAATGCGGATAGGTGTGGCTCATAACACATGGTAAATTTAGATGGCTGCTAAATATTTAAAGATGTGTGTGTGTGTTATGTGTGCATGGAAGCAAATTATATGTGTTCTTTGAAACTTGGTTCAGCTGAATCTCACTTTCTGAATTCACCTTCCAGCAGCATTTTGCATTTTTAGTGCATGAAATTGTATGTAAAGGACTTAAATAGTATTAGTCACTTAAAGCAAACTTTTTTTTCAAAACAAGCATTATATAAAAACTGAGTTCTATCTAAATGTAAGAAGATAATCGCAAATCTACTTTCTTATGAAATTACATAGTAGGCTTAGACAATGATTGAGGGATAGGGATATAGCTTAGCATTTGCCTAGGAAGGCAATGAGTTTGATTTCTCTAGCCCTATAAAAAGTATGATTTTTAAAAAGAACTATTAATGATTTAATGCATTCATTCCTCTATATTTAATCATTGATACTCTACCTAGAAAAGCATTTCAGAGCCAAGCTCATGCTTGGAATACCAGTACTCAGGAGGTGAAGGTAGGAAGATCATTACCTGTTGTAGTCCAGCCAGGGTTACCTGAGATCCTGTTTCAAACAAACCAAAAAGCCTTTTCTCTCCTGTTTGTTTTTATTATATCAGCATAGACTTACAATTTCATGTATCATAATCCATTGTTGTTGTTATTTTATTGCCCAAATTATCTCAGGCCTGTTCTATGAAACTTTCTTTAATTGGTTGCTATGCTTTTGATATGTTGCCATTGTATTTTGAGCACATTTTACCTTTTGCCTAAATAATATGCCCTTTTCCCAAAAGCTACTAATTTCCCTTAGAAACTAGCACCTGAGTCCTAAATATATTCTTTGCTTCTGGTGTCTTACTACTTCTGAGCCATTGTATACAAACCTGTGTGTTTATTTCTGTATTTATCTAAAGATTGCTAGAGGACTTAAGTACACCATGAGTTCAAACTTTTGCCTCCAATTACAATCCAGTACCACAGAGTACCTTTTAATTTTAATTTTCACCTTTATAGATTTGTAATTTCCTTCTGTGTTTATGGAAAAATATTACCCTCCATATCATCAGTATACTTAAATCATTTTTAAGTGTAGAATGCCCTGCAAGTTTTAGAATTTTTAAAAAATATTTTATTATTTTTATGTGTATGAGTGTATTGCCTACATGTATGTGAGCACACCCATGTCGTGCAGTGCCGTGGAGGTCAGAAGAGGGCTTTGGATTCCCCTAGAACTGGAGTTAAGGACGATTCATAGCCGCCATGTGGGTGCTGGGACTCGAACCCGGGTCCTCTACAAGAGCTGTTAGTGCTCTTAACTGCTGAGCCATCTCTCCAGCCCAAGTTTTAGAATATTAATCTGTTCCATCACAAATGAAACTCCTCCATTCAGTCTCAGCATGGTTTTGTACTATGTATGGTGTGTGTGTGTGTGTGTGTGTGTGTGTGTGTGTGTGTGTGTACGCGTGTGTGCGTGTGTGCTTGTGTGCATGTGGAATCCAGAGGACAACTTCAAATGTTATTCCTAGGCATTATCCATGTTTTGGTTTTTTTTTTTCTTTTTTCGAGGCCTGGTCTCTTACTGGCATAGAACTCACCAATTAGACTAGTCTGGTTGGCCAGCAAAGACCCAGAGATCCACCTGTCTTCCCCTCTCTGACAGTGGGATTACAAGTGTGCACTCTTCTACTCTACTCTTTTTTACATGGACTTTAAGGATTGGGACCTGGGTACTTGTGCTTACGAGGAAGTATTTACCACCTCAACTCTATCCCCAGCCCCACTGTATATGTTTTATACATCTTCTGTTAAATATGTATTTTGTAGTCTGTAGCCATTGGAGATGGATTTCTAATAGTAATTTTGAATTGTTTATGCATACAATTGATTTAGTGGAGATTGTTTTTTATGACAGGTTATACACCACCATGCCCAGCACTTTATTTTATTTTTTTGGTATTGACCTTATTTCCTTTAGCACTGTTGTTTATTTTTTCAGTTCTAGTAATTATTTCAAAGATTTCAACTGTATCTACTAAGATGACTGCATAGCTTTGATATTTTCTGCTACCAACTAAATTAATTAGTTACATCAGTCTTGAAACTCCCATGGTAAACTCTCCTAGGTCATATAACCTGTTAGTATTTCCTGAATTCTGTTTACTAATATAAAGGTTTTTTGCATGTATATTCATGGAAGATATAATTTGTTGTCTTTTGTAATTTTTTTTAAACAAATTTTTCTGTCCACGTTATGTGGCATCAAATGATTTAGGAAGCATGATTCTCATATTTTCTGCTGACTTTTGACATTGCTTCTTTAACTGTTTTATCAGGTTTATCAGTCAAAATACTTGGGTCTTTAGTTTTCTTTGGAATTTTTATAGCAAATTTAATTTCATTAATAAGTATAAATAGTCCAGATTCTTTATTATTTTGCTTCGAATTGACAGGACTTCTGTGTTTAAATTTTCCCAGTTCATCTAAATTATTCATGTTTTCATATTTTTAATGCTTCTAGGATATTTCACAATTAAGCCCATCGATGACCTTTTCATTCCAGATATTTTATATTTTAGTTGTAGAGTTTTGAGTTAAATAATATTTTATTCTTTATATCTACCAAGGACAACTGAGGTTGGCCATCTGTTTATTCAGTATGATAGTTGATAGTTTTCTTGAGTATAAATAACTGCTTTAAAGTTCTTGTTTGCTAATTCTGGCATTTGTGTTCCTATGAGGTCAAGTTTTTTAAAACTGCTTTTTCTCTTGACTGTGGTGGCATTTCTGATACATACCTAGTAATCTTTATTGTCTACTAGAATTGCAGTTCATACAAGTAGATTCAGTTATCTTCTGGAGAGTAGCTAGCAGTTAATTTAATTAGACTCAAACCTCAAACTGTTGCACTTACAGACAACAACTGAAATCTCCGTTCAATTGTGTTTGTGGGTGTGGAAGCCGGAGGTCAACATCAGATGTCTTCTTTAGTCATCGTCCCCCTTATTTTTTGAAATAGGGTCTCTCACTGAATATGGAGCTTACTGATTGACTGGTCAGTGAGCTCCGGGGATCTTCTTGTCTCTATACCTACCCAGTGTTTTGGTTAAAGATACTTACCACCCCTTCCAGCTTTTATGTAGGTACTGGGGGTGGGCGGTCCAAACTCCATCACCGTGCTTTTGTGACAAGCACCTTACTCACTGAGTCATTTCTCTAAGCCCTCCATTCATTTCAGTTTCAACTTTCTGTTTGCTGCTTTCTTGAAGCCCCCTGGAATTTTTCCATGCATTTGTAGTTGAAGGATCAGCCAAAGATTTAAACTAGAGTATTATGAGATTTCTCACTTCACAGCAGCCTCCTTCTAAGAACTTACCCTCTCATTTATATAACCATTCTGATCACCCTAAATGCCACCCTTTGATTTCTCCCACAGTAGACTACAGCTTTGTACCTCAGTTTTCATCCCTGTACTTCTGTGGATTGAAGTGCCCTCAAGTCACAAATCACATAAACTCAAATCTTACCTCGTTCTAGCCCTCCAACTTGTTTTCCCAGTGCCTTCAGTATGATTATGTTTGAAGTTTTGTCTAGAGTTTATGAGCATTATTTACAGAAAGGTAAGCCCAATACAAGATAATCTGCCTTTAATGAAAGCATAAATATCCCATCTGTCTATATTATTTTGAAGCAAATACCAGACATCCTGTTTCATGTAATACATATCTCTGAAAGAAATAGACTCTTGAATGGGTGTGGTGGCACATACCTGTAATCCCAGCCCTTGAGTGGCCAAGGCAGAAAATTCTGAGTATGAGGCCAGCCTAGGCTACTTAGCAAGTTCCAGGTCACATAATAAGGCCTGTCTCAAACAAAGTAACCAAAACCAAGGAAACTAATAAAGTAGAAAACACATGTTGAACTTAGGGGGGAAAAATGTTAAAGGAAAAAAAAAAAAACCATTGGGAATATGGTAATTTAAAAAAATCATTTCAGCTGAAAACATGATAACTAAAATTCTGTCTTTTTTCCTGTATTTAGGTTCGTGACAATAAGAAGTTAAGAGTAAATGCTGTTATTGCCCCTAAAATTTCACATGCAGACAAAGCACCTTCAAGATCTCTGAATGAGCTAAAGTAAGTTAAAAATACTATTAGAACTAATTAATTAGCCTTTAATCCTTTATTCCCAGCACGTGGGGGTGGGGGTGAGGTGCAGAGGCAGGCAGATCTCTGTGAGTTCAAGGCCAGCCTGGTCTATAGTGAGTTCCAGGCCAGCTGAGGGTATAGGAAGCCCCTGTCTCCAAAAAAAAAAAAAAAAGAACTAATTAATTAGCACTGAATGATCTTATGATCTTAAACGTTTTTGAATTCTCCTCATCATAGGATATTTGTTAGCTGTATTAGTCTCTTAGGAGCTTTACTTATTGGTTGTTGGTGCGTGCGTGCGTGCGTGCGTGTGTGTATGTGTGTGTGTGTGTGTATGTATGTAGACCAGAAGACAGCATCAGGTATTGTTCCTCAGGCACTATCCACCCTCCACTTTTTTCTGTGTGTCGGGGGGTCATACTGGCCTGGAATTTTTACCAAGTAGCTAAGCTATGCAGCCAGTAAGCTCTGAATCTATCTCAGCATCTCTGTTGAGATTTATAAGTGCATGTCAGCCTGCCTGGAATTTTTTTTTTTTTTTGTCTTTTTGAGACAGGATCTCCTTGTAGCCCCAGCTGGCCTGGAACTCGCTATATAGACCAGGCTGGCCTCCAACTCACAGAGATCCGCCTGCCTCTGCCTCCCAAGTGCTGGGATTAAAGGCATGCACCACCACATCCTGCTGCCTGGATTTTTTTATGTGGGCTTTAGAGATTCAACTTAGGTCCACTGCACCCAAATTTTTTTTAATTCTACTCTAGGGATGGAACTCGGGTTTTGTGCTTGCAAGAGAAGCATCTCATCAACTGTACTATCTCCTCAGCCCAATAATCAAGTTTTTAGAGAGGTATTTTCAGAAGAAAAATTAAATCAGTACTTTTCTTTCCAGACAGTATGGATTTTTCTCTTATTTACGAGAGTTGTTTGATGCACCTGATCCTGTAATGAGTTACCTTTGTTGCCAGTATCATATTCATGAAGTTCCTGTGGGAACTGAAAAGACCAGAGAAAGGATTGAACGGGTAAGAAACACCCTTACCAAAACCTTAGTAGTATTAAAACTTAGATTAAAGTAAAACAAAAACTTTCAGAATAAGTACAATATTCTGTTGTTTTTAAACGTGCAGAAATTTGTATTTAAGAACTGTAATGTGACATGTAACAATGACTGTTGAGTAATATTTTGTAAAAAAAAAAAAGTGTAGATAGAGAGATAGATAATGGTGTTAACTAGAATAAAGTAAATACATTACTTTTAGGGGAACTGAATAAAGTTAAAACCTGGAAAGATACCCGAATGTTCTTAGCTGATTCAGCCTTGCTTGATATAAGCAACACTAGTGATTTAATCATTAAAATTCTTACATTCTAGATTATCTTTCAAGGAAATTATACTTTAGAATGGTAGCCTGGGGTATAAGTCGATTCTGGTAAGCCCTTACCTCTTAAAACTTCTATTTAAGATTATCTCAATATATTATTAGCTACTTTTTCTAATATCTAATTTTCTTCACAAATAATAGCCATAAAAATTTAGTTGCTAAATTCTTGGAATACTGTTCAGAATTTTCTTCTTATAGGCCTTCAAAGCACTTATGGATTTTTTTTCTCTTTTCAGAGAAACAGAAACAGAACAAATCTCCTAGGATGGGTTTTTGTTTTTGTTTGTGAGGGTTTTTGTTGTTTTGGAGCAGGATCTCAAGTTCCCAGGCTAACCCTGGTTGAACTCCTCTGTCTCCTACTCTGTCTCCCAAATACTGGGATCACAGGTGTGCTTGGACAGTTTTTCACATTATCAAGTTGCCATTTTTAATACAGTGCATAAACGTCTAAGAAACAGTTGTAGACCTACCTATACTTTGTGATACTGAGTTTATTTTCTAACAGCCAGTGTACAAGTATTGTAACAGCGTTCATTTGGGACTCTGTACTTCACTAACAGAAGACAGAAACGAGGTTTCTAACCAACTTACTCTTCAAAACTGGGTTACTTGTAACAGGTTGCCTGTGCCTTTAGTTAAAAGTATGATAATATTTAATAAGTCAGTGAGTGAGTGAATGAATGAATGCGATCATATTGTATGAATGAATGAATGAATGAGATCATTTTGTTAGGAGATCATCTGCAGTAACCAAAGGTGTATATCTCTAGTGTCTTAGTTCACTGAGGCAGTAAAAAGAGAAAATAGACCAAACCAGTCTCTGCCATAACTTCAAAGATAGAATATCTCTGAAAGTAAGGATAGCAGAAATTCTTTACTAATACAGAAACGCTGTCTTCTTAGGAGGCTTGGAAAGAGTTTTCATAGCTTTGCTTTGTGACAGAAGGCAGCAATGACTAGACCTGGAAATTTCATTTCTCTGAACATTGCTTAGGTTGAATTATTTTTATATTCTTTTAGCATTTTAAGTTGCAAAGAGCACTTTTTAATACTACTGCTTGAATTAGAGAAATAGTCAATTTGTATAATTTACATTAAAGTCAGTTCAGGCTGGAGAGAAGGATCAGTGGTTAAGAGCACTGACTGCTCTTGCAGAGGACCCGGATTCGATTCCCAGCATCCACGTGAACATGATGGCTAACAACCATCCGTAACTCCAGTTCCAGGGGATCCGCCTTTTTTCTGACCTCCTCGGGCATTGCACAACACGGGTGCGCTTGCACACATGCAGGCAATGTACTCATACACATAAAAGAAAAATAACAAATAAAAAAAAGGAAGTCAATCCTTTCCTTCCCCTTTATTCTCGATTATTTTTCATTTGCTGTAATTCTTTGGAGTTGTAATTTATTTTTCTTTCAAATGCCTTAAAATATTTGGGGGAGGGGGCAAACGCCTGGATTCTGAGATGCATTCCCAGCCCAAGTAAGGTTTTTTATTAAATGTAGTAAGTGTTCTAAATACCTGATTGTCCCATTGTTCAGTGTACTGTTCTTTATATGAAAATATATTAAATTATGGAACTTTTCAGTTGTTAATACAATAAAGCCATGTTAGGAAGATTTCAAACATTTGATAAAGCTCTGGCATCTTAACTAACTTTCAGCGTATACAAAGTTTTTTAAAGGAAATTCACTATAGCCATAATTGTTTGTTTCATGTGTAGATATTGTAACTATCACTGTATTTATTCCTTAGAATAAAAATATATTCTTCAGTGTGTGTATATTTTATAATCAAGTCTTGACATTTCAAGTTCTTTAACAGTGATTATAGATTATTTATGAGATTGTTCTTTTTTTTTTTTTTTTTTTTGAGGAAGGTTTCTTTTTGAGATAGAGTCTCAGTCTACACAGCCCTTGGGCTCACTATATAGCCAAGGATAACCTTGAACTGATTCTTTTCCTTCCCCCTCAAAAGTGCTGAGATTACAGGAATATGCCACTCTACCCAGCTTCCTCCCATTAATTGTTAAGACTCTCCTTTTTGGTGAAGTTGTCTGCTGGCCTCCTCAGCTTGAAATGTTCTTCCTTTCTGCTAGGATGCCCTTCTCACTATCTCATGTCAGGTCAGTTTCAACCTAAAACTTGTTTTTAAGAAACATCTCTTTATTGCAAATTATTCAAGATTTAGGATGCCAGCTTATACCCTGTTGCCCCATTATGCTTAAAAAGTCTTATCTTCACTTAGACTAGAAACTTCTCCAGAGAAACAAACCTTAATACTCTTGGTTATGAACCTTCAGAGACTGAAGGAAAAAAATGCATCCCAACAGCCTAGTCAGAGTAAATATACACAGTCACATTAATAATGCCATGGTGTTTAATAAAAACTCTTTGAAGTCCATGAAAAATACTTTCATTTAAAATTCTAAATACAGAGAAGTGTAAGATTATATACCTTTGAACAATATAATCTAGGAGTAGAGGGGTGGAGAGGTGGCTCAGCACTTAAGAGCACTGGCTGCTCTTGCTGAGGACCCAGGTTCTATTTTCAGCACCTATATGGTGGCCAACAACCATCTGAAACTCCAGTACCAGAGAAATCTCATATCCTCTTCTGACTTCCATGGGCATTGCAGGACAGAGGTGCACTTACACATGTGCAGGCGGTGTACTCATACAAATAAAAATAATAAAATATTTTTTAAAATGAAAAAAGTCTAGGGGAGGAGAAAGTAAACTATTTAGCTAGATACCATATGTCAGTCTACTGGCGCTTGGCTCTTAGCATGTCTTAGATAAAGCTCCCAAGCTAAGCTTATTTGGGAGAGAAGTTAGATGAAGTCCAAGGATAGCCAACTTTGCCAGTTATTTAGCTTTCTCTGAATTCTCTTTTATGTTGTTTTTTAAAACATTTGCCTCAGATATAGATCACTATTTTAGAAATGTTGGACAGGTTGTTCTTAAATCTAGTATATTTTGATCTTTCAGAGTTCACTGGGTTTATGTTTTTGATTCTTTAGTCCTTTAAAACTATGTAGCATAATCGTTATTAGATAATCATGAGTTCTTGCTTTACATTGTAGGTAATACAAGAAACCCGATTAAAACAAATTTATACAGCAGAAGAAAAGTATGTGTTAAAAACTTCATTTTATTCAAATAAAGTTATTTCTAGTAATACATCCCTGAAAGTGGCCCAGTTTCTCACAGTCACTGTAGATCTTGAGCAGAGAAGACACTTGGAAGAACAGCTGAAGGTTAGTGAACTTGCTATGCTATTAGAACATTAACTGGATTTTTCATACTGTAGCATTATAATTTTTTTAACAATTTTGAATTGTTTTCCCACAGGAAATTAATAGAAAATTGCAAGCTGTAGAATCAGGATTGATTACCTTACGTGATACAACCAGACATCTTGAACTCAAAGACAATGAACTTAGACTGAAGAAGAAAGAACTTCTTGAAAGAAAAACCAAAAAAAGACAACTGGAGCAAAAAATTAGTTCCAAGTTGGGAAGGTATCATTTAGCTTTTGGGAAGGGGAGTGAAACGAAAACTGCATGAGTGATTACTGAGTAAATCCTAGAAGGTCAATACAATTCCCACAGGCACATTTTGCAGTGATTTCTAAAGTTTTAATATTGCTACTCAAATCTCTTTAGTTGAAGTCAGCTGGGTTTTCTTGTCTGCCTCTATGTTCAGTCCATTTTGAAATATTTTTTTGAAATTAAATGAAGAAAATCAGGTTTCACATAGATGCATAGTTTAATAAAGGGAACAGTAGTTAATACACTTTTCAAATAATTGTGATTATTCTCTTTTAATACTGTGTCAGATTTTGCCATTATGGAGGTATATTGTTTGAAAAAGGTATTAATACGTTTTTCAAATAATTATGGATATTCTTTACTACTATGTCCAGCTTACCAAAGTGTAATTATATGTTAAAGTTTAATTGCAATGTAGAATCTGCAGTCATGCCAGTGAACTTTTTCACTCTGCTAGGTTAAAATCCATTGCCCTTTCAGTGGATATTTTATTCAGAATTTTTATAACATTTTTCATTATTGTTTGTAGAATATTATCAGATATTGATTCATTTTATTATATAACAGCAAAGAAAAGGTTACTCGTCCTTATATTTTTATTTGTATTTTATGTGTATGAGTGTATTGCCTGCATGTAGGTAGGTGCACCTGTGCTGTGCATTCATTGCCTATGGAGGACAGAAGAGAGTGTTGCATGCCCTGGAACTGGAGTTACAGTTATTAGCTGCCATGTGGGTGCTGGGTATCAAATCTCTGCAGGAGCAGCCAGTACTTTTAACCACTGAGCCATCTCTCCAGCCCCATCACATTGATCAAAGATCCAATAAGAAAAGTCTATCAATTAAGCTCATAGTGGTAGGTAAAAACTTTCAGAAATTCTAGTTTTTATTGACAGTTTTAATTTTAGCATTTGTGACAAATAATATAGGTCATTTTAATGGTAGGCTCACTTTATTACTTTCTAGCAAGGGGAGGGGCGCATAGCCAAAAATTCTCTCTTTCTCTTTTTTTTTGTGGGGGGGAGTCTTTTTGAGAGAGTCTCCCTGTAGCCCCATCTGGCTTGGAACTCACTGTGTAGACCAGGCTGGCCTAGAACTCACAGAGATTCACTGCCTCTGCCTCCTGAGTGCGGGGATTGTGTGTGCCACCACACACCGCTCCAAAAAGTCTTTTGTGTGTGTGTGTGTGTGTGTATGTGTGTGTGTGTGTATATGAGTATATTGCCTGCATCTCTGTAAGTGCACCCATGTTGAACAATGCCCACAGAGGTCAGAGGAAAGCATCAGATTCCCCTGGAACTGGAGTTATAGGTGGTTGTTAGCTACCATGTGGGTGTTGGGAATCGAACCCTGGTCCTCTGCAAGAACAGTCAAGTGTTCTTAACTGCTGAGCCATCTCTCCAGCCCCCCAAAATTCAGTTCTTAATAACCATAGTTTATCTTTCCCGTGTAAAAATGGAATGCTTCTTAAAAAAAAAAGTCTAGTCTAAGCTCCAAGTTGAAACAGTTATATATTAAGTGTTTCTCCTTGTAACAACTCTTATTTTTATATATAGCAGAAATGCTTGAAGTGCTATAAAGAATAGTAGATAGACATATACTCGGGATTTAAGATTTTTAGAAATCTGTTAATTTTAAAGCCAGCATTTTAAAATACAGGGCATTGGGACACTTCTACAGTCTCAGCACTTGGAATGCTACAGCAGGAAAATTATGAGTTCAAGACTTGTTTGAGCTACATAAGGAGACTGTCTCCCGAAATAATAAGATATGACTGCATGACAGAAGAAATCTTAGGCCCCCAGTGCGTACTCTCTGTTCCCACCACTTTGATTCATTCCAAAGCACTAGAATTTTTACTTGCTATTGCTCTTGCAGCATCAGTGAAATGTCAACAGTGAGAAAGGGAGTTGTTTTTCATTACTATGAAGATAATTTTGGCCTCACGGATGCCTTGAAGTAATTTTAGGGATCCCAGGAGACTGGGTACATGCTTGTGTTCCTACTGAGTTTAAAGTAGGAGGAGAAGGAAGGAAAAGGTATAGACAGAAAAAATATCAAATAAGTGTATTTTCTGGCCAGTTTTGAAACAGGGAAGAAAGAAAATTATATTGATTTTTTATAGAATAGAATGGGCACCTGACTTTGTCTCCCTTGTTTAGTTGTATTGATCTTTTTTACAATTAGGGTTATATCTACCTAACCATACCAGTCTTCTAATGTACCAAGCATTATATAAAATGTGAATGTTAAGTCTTCCAAAAAGAAAACCAGTAGCTTACTATAAGAGCCAAGGTAGCCATTCTCAGAACTGTGTGTATATGTAAACTATAATAAATATGATGAATGTCAAAACTAGGGAAAAGCAGCATGGCTTCCATCAAGGTTTTTCCCACATTCAACCATGACCTAGCTTTTCCTTGCTTGTTGTCCTTGTAAAAAAAAAAAAAAAATTTTGAGATAGTGACTTGCCTTGCTGTCCTGAAACTTGCTGTGTAAACCAAATTGGCCTTCAACTCACAGAAATCCACTTGCCTCTGTCTTCCTCCTGAATGCTGGGATTAATGGCATGCACCACCATACCCTTACCAGTTTGTAAATTCTTACCCATAGCATGGAGGTACAGAGATGAGTCTTTTTAATAATGTCAGTTCATTGCCTTCAGTAAGATTTGAGTTCAGCCTTGACCTAATATAGTGTTTCTAAACACATGTTGGATTATATTTAAAGTGCATTAAAATATTTTACTCTTTGTTTTCAATTTTTTTTAATTTATTTTTATTTTATGTGTATGACTTTTGCCTGCATGTATGTAGGTGCACCCATGAGCCATGAGTGCAGTGCCTGAGAAAACCAGAAGAGAGTATTCCTTGGAACTGAAGTTGCGGACTGTTGTTAGCCACCCTGTGGGTGCTGGGAAGTGAACCCAGATACTCTGTTCTGCGAGAGCAGCTAGTGCTCTTAACCACTGAGCCATCTCTCCAGCCCCTATTTTTAATCTTTTTTAAAGCAAATAATTTCCCATTAAGCTTGATGTTAAAAAATAACCTTTGGTATCTTAGTTTTTTTTTTTTTAATTTTAATCCTCATTTATCACTTTCAGGACTTCACTTTAATTCTGTCTTCAGGTATTGACATACCACGTAAACTTACTGTGTGACTGCTATATTTCTCCTTAAATACTGTTGATTTTTGCAACAAAATGGTATTTCCAACCCACTATTTTTTATCCCTGCCTTTATTTACTTTGGATTAGTGTTGTAGTGATCTGACTGAAATCTCCCTGACTAGTTTCTTCTCTCCACTCAGTTCATTCAGAATGCTGTGGCAGAAATGTATTGTTTTGGTCTGTCTGTGTGCTGGTGTGTACCCCATCATTAACATGAAATCTCATCAAACACTACTTGCTTTTAGATGAATTTATGATTATTCAGACTCTTGTTTTCCTCTCCAACATACCCTTCCTTGTACCACCTAGACCACTCTGCAGCATCCACTGTACTTGTTCATTCGTCATCACTGTTGCCATCCTTTCTATGTTTTCCCTTGGAGTAAACATGGTACAGTAGAAAGAACATGAACATAATTTCTGTGCTCTTGGATGATTTGCCTAACTTTTCCAAACCTTGGTTTCTTCATCTTTAAAATTATCGTAATGGTATTTTTAGGACTGTTGTATTGCCCTTTTGGAGGGTGGGGGTAGGGGGTCTCTTGTTACACTGGCTGGCCTCAAGCTCTTTATGCAGCTGAGGATGACTTTGAATTTCTGATGTTCCTACTTCTACCTCTCAAGTGCTGGGATTATAGACATGCACCACCATTCCCAGTTAATGCTGGGGGGATTGAACCGTGGCCTTTGTGTATGTTAGGCAAGCACTCTATCAACTGCATCCCACACCCTTGTATTGACTTTGATTCTGTTTTTTACCTATGGATCGACTCTGCCTTCCATTTTAATGATTGTGTTTCATAAACAATGTTACTAACAGTAACAACAACTTATATTAATAAATCAGTTGTGGGCCAGACGCTGTCCTATGTTGTGTTTATTTTCTCCACAGTTCTACAGAGGGAGTATTATTATTATTGAAATTTATAGATGAAGAAACTACAGCTTGGAAAAGTAACTTGTCTAGTGTCCTACTTATTAATGAATGGCAAAAGGGAAATTAAAAGCTACCTTTCTGACTCCATATCCTTCATCAGCACCATTAGTATTACCAGACTGTGCTAATCACATAGTTCTGCAAATCCATTTTGATCCTGACTGATTGCATTAAGTGTTCTTTAATCTAGGAACTAGCAGTTTATACTTCTGTTTAACATTTCTAAATGTAACCCAGAAAACTGTAGGGGGCGGATCCTAGGACTTTAGGCGTGCGTGGTCCCATACTTAACTCTGATCTCTACACCATTTTGTGTGTCATACAGTATAAAGCTCATGGAACAGGACACCTGTAATCTGGAAGAGGAAGAACGGAAAGCAAGTACCAAAATCAAAGAAATAAATGTTCAGAAAGCAAAGCTTGTTACTGAATTAACAAGCCTAGTTAAGGTAAGGTATTTTCTTGATTCTTGCCAATTTTAAAAATAGCTGCTAGATAGTAAAAGAATAAAAATTTTAGAAGACTATATGGAAGAGAAGATCGTCATTAAAGTTTTAGCTATTTTAGCAGTATTAAGCAAGAGATTTTTATTATTACTTTTAGCTTGCCTTGTTTTTTACTGTTTATAGATAACAAAAATGTTAATTCGTTAAGCCAAATTATTTGTTCCAGATGACTTAAATGCACTAGAAATTTTTTTTAATGGAAAAATGAATGTCACAAAATTCTACAAATAAGTGTTAAGATTAAGGAACACTTTTTGAAATGCACATTCTCTCTTTAAATCAGTGCAGATGAACTGTGCCCTATGTATTTAAAAAAAAAAAAAAAAACTCCAAAGTTAAAGTTTGACTCTAAATAGATACAGATATATAGAAGATCTTGAGGGCTGGTGAGATGGCTTAGCAGGTAAAAGGCACTTGGCCTCCAGGCCTGATGAACTAAATGCTATCTCTAGGACTCACCTAGTGGAAGGAGAAACCTGACTTCCACAAGTTGTCTGCTGACCTCCACATGCATGCCATGGCATAGATGTGTACCCTCCATGAAAATAAATGAATAAATATGACAAAGAAAAGCTATCAAACGTAAAAGTAGGCCTGGGATCTTGAAAAGTACAAATGTTCATGAAAATGTTACAAATTCCCATCTAGAAGTTTAGGTATGCAAAAAGCCCAAAGTGCTTTTCATTATATTTAAAATTTAATTTAGAACCTTGGTCTTTATTCCTTTTTTTAAGTAGTCTTATAAGAATGATTTGATAGAGATGTTAGTCATAGCAGAAAAATGTCATTCTTTCATGATTCATAATTTTTATTTTGGGAAAAAAATGGCATTTTTCATAGTCTAAAATGTAAGTAACTTAAAAACTAAACTCATGGATTTTTTGTTTCTAGAGTTGTACTTCTTTGCATATACAAAAAGTAGATTTAATTCTTCAAAATACTACAATGATCTCTGAGAAGAACAAATTAGAATCAGATTACATGGCTTCATCTTCACAACTACGTGTCACAGAGGTAAGATTTTTTGCCTACATTTTTTATTTTGGGGTTTTAGCCTCTAACCAGTTTGAAAGTATACATCACATATTATCATTTCCAGTTGTTGGGTGCTATGTAATTTGAAGTTTAGAGGCCTTTGGGATGACTCAGGAGGTAAAAGCACCTGCAGTTGCAAGCCTGTCAATCTATGGAGTATGTGTAAAGGTGGAAGGAGAGACCTGACTCCCCAAAGTTGGCCTCTGACCTCCACATGTATGCCATGGCATGCACGTATCTGTACTCTCACACACATAATAATAATTAATAAAATAAAATCTAATGCATCTTCTTAATGAGGAGGCAGTACTTGAAACGTGTAAGAGTAGCTGGATAATCATGACAATTTTTATGCTACTATTTGGCTCTGAAATGATAGAATTGTGCAGAGGGGATGAAGTGCAATGTAGCACGGTAACTTAAATTTTAAAGATCTGACATCATGGTGACCTAACATAGTTAATCATTTTTATTATTGATTTTTGCTGTTATTTTTTAATCTCCAAAGTCCTTTCTCAAACATAGAAGAGCACTTAGAATATTGTAGTAACAACCAACCTGTGAACAGCCTGGTACAGTAACAAAACAAAACTAAGCTTTAAGGGAGTGGAGAGATGGCTCAGCGGTTAAGAGTACTGGCTGCTTGCAGAGGACCCGGGTTCAATTCCCAGCTCCTACATGGCAGCTAATAAGGATCTGTAACTCCAGTTCCAAGGGATCCGATGTCCTCATCTGACCAACTCGGGCATTGTATGACACAGGGCAGGCAATACACTCCTGCACACAAAAAATAAAATTTAAAAAATTAATAAAATAAGAACTATTAATGTGCTGTATTCCTGTTCTGGAACTACCCTCGTAAAGTTAGTACCAAATTGGACAATTTATAAACAGTCCAATAGACTCTTCTTCATATACTAGCTGTAAACTCAAGGTTTCCTACGCTGTACACATCTAATCGCATCTGGCTACCAAATTACTGAATTTCCATGGTCCCTTCATGATTAATAATTCACTAGAATGACACAGAATGCAGAACACTGTTACTTTTATTGTAAGGAAGCATGTACAGCTATGTCTGAAAGGGTCCTAACAGGATGTCTGTATGCTTTTCATGCAGAATTAGAGAATGCTACTCTTGATGTTTCTTTCTGCTCACCAAGCAGGAAACCTGTGTTGCAGTTCCACTACATGAGCCTGATTGGTTCATTGGCCATGTGGTTGAACTTAGTCTCCAGCCCTCCTGTCTGTGAGTTTGAGAAGTTGTGCTGATTTCATACAATCTAAAACTCTAACCATAAGGTTGATCTTTTTGGCATTACCCACTGAGTCACCCCCTTACCATAAACTCAGGTGTGATCCAGGATACTCTTGAATAACAAAGAATCTGTCACTCAATTTCCACGTCTTTAGAGATATCAGTTTTACAAAGTCTAATTACATTCTTTATATTATACACCTGTGGACTCCAGAATACAATTAGGTGACATAAATCAGTAGGCTTATCAAAACTATCCTGAAAATTACCAAAAACTCAAACATCAAACTGCCAAAAGGTACTCATCTTTAAAGAGAGGAGGCCCCATTAGCTGTAGAAAGCTTAGTACTATATGAAATTAGCTGAAACTGAGAGACTGTTACAGACTAGGGAAAGGTATGGTAATGTTAACATTGTCTAGACTTATGACCCTCAAAACTGGATGAAGGGACAGTGTGTACTATGTGGTTAAAAGTCTGCCAGTATAGCTGAAGTATAATTCTCTGAAAACGAAAGATAATAAAAATGGAATATATTTACTATTTGTCCTTTAGATATTATCAAGAGTATTACTTCAGTTGATGTTTAGAACAGGGAAATGAGGAGGTATTTCAGTATTTTCCCCCCACCCAGAAGCTGTAAGGCTGTATGAATACTGTGTAAAGTATTTGCATAAAGAAAATGTACAAAGAAGAGGGGTTAAGGGCAGGGGCAGTAGAATACTTAGATGTTTTGTTTAAAAATAAACATAAAAATCACTGTGACAGAATTCATTAAAATCACATTGATGACATGCCTATAATTCTAGCACTTGGGAGGCTGAGGCAGGAGAATTACTTGAGCTCAAGAGTTGACAGACCTAATTTTAACAATTGATAGACCCCAAGACCCCATCTCAAATAAATTAAGACCAAGCATCAGTCATGGCATTTAATTTTAATGGCTATAATTTCTACTAAAAAAATGATTTGAATTCTAAAATGTATAGAATATAAAAGGTATGCGTTAAAAGAACAAATTCAGAAAAGTTAAAAATAGAAGAATGGTAGGTACAATCCTTTAAAAGTGATGGAAGTGTCACATTGGACACAGTAATGTTAACACAGCTCTGTAGATAACTCGCAGTCACTGATTATACAAAAACTTTATGATACGTAAATTATACTTCAGGAAGTCTATTAAATAAATGGCTAGAGGGGCTGGAGAGATGGCTCAGCGGTTTAAGAACACTGATTATTCTTGCAGAAGACCAGGGTTTGAATCCCAGCATCCACATGGCAGCTAACAACTGTTCATAACTCCAGTCCAGGGGATCTGACAGCCTCTTTTGACCTCCACGGGCATTGCTGGACACGGGTGCCCTTACCTACACGCAGGCAGTACACACATACACATTAAAAAAAAAAAAAAAGAGAGAGAGAGAAAATTTAAAAAATAAAATAAATGGCTAGAAACTAAAATCTTACTATTTCAGTATACCTTTAGGAAGTTATTAGCACTTTCTATATTACTAAATGAAAATAGAAAGGGGCAAAGGCATACAGTCTTTTACTACTTTCAAAGAGCCTGGGAGGGCTGTGCCTGTATGCTTATTGAACAATAGCACTGCTAGCTAGCACCGTTTCTTTTAATTGTTCTTGGACATAGAAGATTGGGTTAAAAGCTATATTCATTTAAATTCTTACGGTTTTTTTCTACTTTGGAATAACGTATGAACAAAATTAATTTTTCTTCAAGAGAAACAGCAAGAGCAAAATGAAACAAACACATCTTTGTTTTAAATTAGCAAAGAAAAAATTATTCTAGATGGTTTAACACAAAAATTTGATTTGAAACACAAAAATAATTTCAGAAACTCTTATATTGTTTTTAACAGTTAAGCTGTTAGTAACATTTGTGGTGTTATTCTTTTTAAAATATGAGGAAATACTAGGCATGGTGAGTGTACATCTTTAATCCCAGCACTCGGAAGGCAGAAGCAGGAGGATCTCTGAGAGTTCAAGGCTAACCATTGCAACATAGTGAGACATCCCACCACCACCATTAAAAGGGGGAAATAAATGATGCCTTTAGCATTTTTAGCCTAAAAGACTTAGATGTACAGTAAGAAAATTAAACAGTAAAAAACTAGCCAGGTGTGGTAACACATGCCTTTAATCCCAGGACTCAGGAGAAAGAGGCAGGCAGCTCTCTGTGAGTTCAAGAGCATCCTGGTCTACATAGTAAGTTCCAGGCCAGCTGGGGCTACAGGGACTCTATATCAAAAAGAATGATAGATAGATAGATAGATAGATGGATGGATGGATGGATGGATGGATGGATGGATGATAGATTTTGAGTTGGAAATAATCAGAACAAGTTCGCATATTTTCTGTAAACTGGAGAAAAAAACCAAGCCCAGCATGGTTGCACAGAGCTTTAATGCTGATGCTCAGGAGACCGAGTCAGTTTGAAAGCACTCTGAGCTGTGTAGTGTACCATGTCTCAAAAAGAAATTTAAAAATTCTAAAGCAAACCAAAAGTTTACTCATTCTATATACATGCTCGCTAATATTTTGTACTAAAATGGCTCATTGGAGAAAGTGACTGACTCCAGATCCAGGAAGAGAAATGTATGTGTAAGTAATCTTAAGTAGACCTTGAACATTTTGACATACCCGGGAGTGAAAATAAGTAATCTGAAATGACTTAATTGTATAACTGAGGAACCTAAGTGAAGACTTTGTGACCGTAGGTGATAGGGTAATAAATGGAAACATACCCACATGTCTAAACCCTCAAAGTTAAAATGATACCAAAAAATAATACTGATCCCTCCAGAGGGTATTTCGGAAAAACAGCTTATTATTTTTGAAAAATTCTAGAGAATTTCGCATTCATCTTCCGTTTCTTATGTGAACTCTAATTGGGGTCTAGAAATAAATGGAGGTTCCTCTTTATAAAAGTATCCTAAGACTTGAAGAAATTGGAGTATTACTACTTTGCAGCTGCTGATCAGGTAGTATGCTATGTTAGCTACTAACATCACAGAAAGTCAGTATTTACAAGTATCCAGTGACACGGTACCACTTAAAGAACAGATTATGTGAAATAATCAAATTTCAGTCAGTGTAAGCCTTCTCAGCATTATGGGTGTTTTGTATTGGGTAATTCTTTCTGTGAGAGACATTATCTTCTGCATTATAGGCTATTTAGCAGTACCACTGACAGCTCTACCTGATAGGTACCAATAATAACACACCAGTAGTGGTTATCAACAATACCTGAACACTTTGCCGCATACACCCTAGAGAACAGTTACTCCAGTAGAGAACCATAGATTTAAAACTATAGTTTACAAGAATTACAAGAAAGCAAGAAATGAGCTGGGTAGATGATTAGTGGGCAAGGTGCTTGCCATGCAATCATGAGAGCCTAATTTAGATCCCCTGCACCCATGTAAAATGCCAGGCATTTGTGTATCACCCCAAGTGCCCGGGGTGTAGAGACCAGTGAATCCCTGTGGGTCACTGACCAGCCAGTCTAGCTGAAACTGAGCTCTAGTTGAGAGACCTTGTCTGACAAAATAAGTTGGAGAGTGATAGAGAAATATACCCATGACCTCTACACATGCATGCACACATAAACATCATCATGTATTGCACACACATACACACACACAAAACTGCCTTATGAGTTTGGGGAACCAAACCCTAGTCCTCTGTAAGAGCAACAAGTGCCC